TCAGTCATTTTGTCACGTTGTCAATCCCACAAGTAAAAAATTTTGTACAGGCCTTTCATTTTCCGTCAAGTAACAGGCCCCCTCAGCGAATTTTTAAAGAAGGCCATAAGTCGGAGTCATTTTTTCAAATTTTAGAGGTTAAAATAGGAACGTTTTAAATTTATAAATCAACTCAAAAATTTGTACAATAATTAAATGATGAACTCGAGAGTTTAACCATAAATTCTTATATATATTCCTTGTATAAAACAAATATAAAGAAACATGATTAATGTACGTGGCTCTATCGACATGTGATGAGACTATGATGGTGGCTACAAAAATAATTGTTAAGGGATAAAAGGAAAAAAAAAACTTTAATACAATGTTATTTTAAACCTTAATGGAAAATGAAAAAAGTTGTGTGGGTGTATTATTGTCAAAACGGTTTACGGGAAGAGATTATTCCGAAAGTTGAGGTTAAGAAAAGGATGTGCAATGGAATTGGAATCCATTCCGATAAAGGGTAAAGACAGTAGAGTTCCAACTATGCAGTGAGTAGGTAAAATATACTTTCTTTCTTTCTTTTCAAAATATTCACTGTCAAAGTATTTCTGAATTAATTTTTGTACTCATCAAAACTATTTTCTTTTCAAGTAATTTTAAGAACACAATCCTTATATCGGGTGCCTGTCTGATATAATAAAGAATGTTAATTTTTTTAACTATTGATTTTAAAACTTAAACTTTAAACTTGATTTGTAAGACAATACTTGTTTACCATTACATCCAACCGTTTGGGTTACTATGGTGATTACTATGGTGATTATACATATTGTTGGCTAATTGAAATGTATAGTGAACAATTCATTAATTTTTGTTTCATCTTTGCAAGTACTATGGTGATATCCCAAATAGTTAAGTTCCTATATATATGACTTTAAAGTGTTGGTAAGTCACGTATATACAGTTTGAAACCATTTTAAGACTTTTAACCAAAACAAATGATAGGATAATCTAATATATACTAATATACTAATATATAGTTTTTTTTTTTTGTATGACCATCCGGTATCCAGAAGCCTATTGGGCCACTGACTAATCTGGATTCGAGCTGGGCAGGACCCAATGGGCGGCAAAGCTCTCCCTCATGAGTTTTAATGGAACTGTATTCTCAGGACTTGAACTCAAGACCTCTGGTTAATATACTAATATATAGTTTGAGGATAATGCTTCATGCACCCACCGGTTCGACACCCGGTGGGTGCACACTCTTTAAAATGAGTAATTGTAAAAAAAAAAATTATAAATTTACCCTTAAAGTCATTTTTTTTCCCCACAATACCCCTTTTTCTTCTTGTCTCTCCATCTTCCTCTTCAATCGTTCAACACCAATTTCTCAACTTTCTTCCCCCTCGCTCTCTTCTTCCCTCTCTTTCTACCTATTGAAGCAAACAAGTTCTTTAACACCTGAGTTTGTGAAAAACCCAGCACCAAATAAGAGGAATAGCAAGCCACAAACCAACAAAGAAAATGGAACCACAAAAAAAAAAAAACAGATTACCATAAATGAGCTACAGATCTGGACATAAAATCAGAATCTATAAAACTCTAAATGAAAAAATGACCGTTCAAAATGTAGATCAATATCTCTTGAACACCCAGATAAAATTTTAGCTCAATCCAACGGTGAAATTTTACAGATTGGACAAAATAGCAAAGCTGCATGTAGTATCAAAACTGCAGAAATTTCCCCTGTTTTTTTTCCCTTTTCTGCTAATTGACTCCACTTACGTGCACTCCACTTTTTGCTATATCATCCCAAAAACAGACCTGTTTGATTTGTTTAATGGGCTACAAAATCATGAGCTAAATTGAGGATGATTTTATAAGAAAATGAACTCTTTTCAAAATTTGGTGTTGTTGTCATTTGAGAAATTAATTTCCACTGATTCAATGTTGCTATCATTTAGTAAACTTACTTAAGATTCTGATTTGATGCTTGAATGCTTGATTGAGATTTGCTGGGATTCAAATGATTTGTTCTTGCTGTCATTTGGGAAATGAGTTTTGTGAGGAAGAAGATGGTTTAAGGGTAAATTTGTAATTTTACTTTTACAATTATTTGGTTTGTGGAGTGTGCACCCGTCAAGTGTTGAATCGGCGGGTGCATGACACTACTGCAGGAATGGGATTTTCGAACTGAAATATCGGTCCGGATATATAGGAAATCGGTCTGAATATATATATACGGATCGATATTGGTCCTTATAGTTGATCTGAAAAAACCTGGTACGAATAAGTCAAATATACAGACCGACGTATAATCGGTTCGTATATATATACTGTCCGGACCGAAATCGGTTCGGATATTTCAGTAAGAAATATAAATAATTATTGAGAAATTGAAATAAGCAGACCGAAATTGGTCCCAAAAAAAATATAATAAAATAATAAAATATATACGAACCGACAACGGTCTGTAACTGTGGCGGGAAGAGGCATCGCAAATATATATGGACCGAGATCGGTCCGAATATTGAGGACCCAGCTGCAACTTTTAAAACTTGCAACTATATCCAGACCGTTATCGGTCTGAATATATTGGACTTGCCTGCAACTTTTAAAAGTTCCGTCTCCCAACCGGCGCTATTCTCAAACCATATCCAGACTGTTTTCGGTCCGAATATTGTGGACTTGCTTGTAACTTTTAAAAGTTTCGTCTCCCAACAGGCGTCATTCTATAAATATATCCAGACCGTTTTCGGTCCGAAAATATCTTTGAAGAAAAAAAAAATAAAAAC